GACCATTTTATGCAAAACAGTTGACAGCTTTTCAGAAAAGCATTCAACTACTAGTGGTCAATTGTTTTCGAGTATTCAGTTGACGACTAGTTGATGGTCAACTAGACATTTTTGTATCGGTATACACAAGTGCAAACACCACAATTCACATTCATCAAAACTAATGCTGTTAAGAAAAATATTAAAATTGTATTCATTTTCTCTGAATATATTAAGGCGTATATTTCATGGGCGTCCTTAACTTAGTTGCGTATCCTAAGGATTTCAGCATTTGAAGACAAGAATAGTGAAAATCGTCATCTTGAGAAAGCAACTGTACAACTAAAAACACAAACTGGAGACAAAATTTCAATGGAGGTCATCATCATTCCAAAGATTGCAGCTCTGATCTCCAACAGATCACATGTCAATATCAAAGAACTCCCATACCTTAAGGGATTAAAATTGGCACACCTAGTCAGCAAAGAGGAACAATTCCATATTTCAATGCTAATTGGTGCAGACATTTATTGGAACATAGTAGGAGACAAAATCATCAGAGAGAATGGATCCACTGCAATTGAAGAAAAGGTGGGATATCAAATATCTGGACTTATCCACTCAACAGAAAAACAAGTTATAACAGACAGAAGACATATGCATCTAAAGGGTCGAAAAAATAAATCGAGATGGACAAGGAAGATGGGAATGCATCAGACGCTGCGTGCCCAAGAGACTCAACGGACAGCCAGTCAGGAGCTGGAGGCGAGAATTCAAGGGTTGGCAGTACAGAGTGAGAGAGAGCCGACGCCGACACACTCCAGTCTATGACAGGCGGCGAGCAAATGCAATTTTTCCAAACATAGAGAAGAAAAAAATGAAATATTTCTGACAAATTTCTTGCTCAAATTATTTATTGTCAGTGATTGTTTAACGTATATTCCAATTTTTACCAAAAGTCGTTCATTAGGAAGGAAAATAAACACAATGCCTCAATAATTCCGAATAACCCTCTATGTTATATTAAGGAAATTAATTTGTGTGAATCATACATCGAAAATTTTATGCGTAAAATGTTACTTTCATTTACTTGTATCCATGTTCAAATTGAGCTGGAAAAATATTTTCCTCCATTAGATGTTTAAATTATTAGTTTAATTTGTGCATATTACCTTTTTTCTCAATTATGGGTTTGAAGTGCGCGAGATCAATGAGTACAAGTAACGTTTAAAGTGAATTATTTTTATTCATTACGTGATCTTATTTTCTGCAAAAGTTTTCATTGCGAAAGTTTAAATGACAACAATTAACGTCCTTAATATCATATGGCCACTTAACATAATCATAAATATCATAATAATAAATTTATTTCCTTTTATTTTGAGGAAATTAGTCTTAAAAGTCCGTTTTACGTGATATGGTACAGCAACAGGGACCAGAAAATTGGACTGGACAGAGGTTGTAAGTGGATTTTTTTTTTAGAAGAGAAACTTTGGGGAATTCAGTCTAGAAACACACAGTAAAAAATGTATTTCTATTCCACAACGTAAAGTAAATTATAAGAATGGATTATATATTTCTTCAAATGTTCAAGCTTATATCATTTAATGGCTTAATGAAAAGAAAAACTGCGTTTACTTTCTTTTTTTTATTTTAATTTGAAATTTTATATTCTTTCCTTGTAATTAACGCATATTGCATGATATGAATTTTAATTACTTATTTAAAACACATTTGAAAGTGGTGTATTACGTTTATTTACTTCTAGGGTCGAATCATTAGAATATAAATTTGCTTATAGTTAAGAAAAAAACTATACGTCATTTATATTCAAATAATTCTACTCTTGTTACAATTCAAAATGAAATTTCCTATTCATCTAATTTAGTTGAAACGAATATTCGGCAAATAATGAAATCGAGGTAAAGGAAAAGACTACTATTTAACCTTTCTAAACAAACCTTTCTTAGAATATCTTTAACTCTCTTCTTTTTTCATGATTCTACATGATTAACGAGATTCATGATTAAAACTTATCTGATCGCTTAGTAAATTGATTGACTGATTGATTTACGTCCCCATTTAAGAATTTTTCACTCATAGAGAGACGTCACCATATACCGGTGAAGGGCTTCAAATTTTGACCTTTACTCGGCACTCAGGGCCATTGAGCAGTGAGGGATCTTTATCGTGCCAACTCCTGCCGTGACACGGGGCCTCTGATTTTAAGGTCTCATCCGAAGGACCCGCAACTTTCACTTCAAAGTGCCGAGCACCTGGCGAAGGAACAGTTGCTACCCATTTTTTATCGACTTAGGTCAGTCGCGGCTGAGATTCAAACTCACGACCTCCCGATCACGAAGCTAGCGCTCTATCGACGGAGCAACCGTGAACGGTATTAGTAAATAGAATTACTCCTTCAGTTCCTGTTGCACGAACGTTTTAATTAAAAGAGAAACTCATAAAAAAGAAAAATGTGAGTTTATTGCCCATATGCTTATTCATTTTATAACTAATTCAAAATAAAAATTATTATTGTTCTAATAAAACAAAATGAATTTACTTTCGAGAGCAGCACTCTGTAAGAGCGAACTTAAAAGGACATCAATTCCGTACTTAAAAATATTAATGTGGCAAGCCTTGTTTTTTTTCATTTATAATGAAACATTGTATTGTATCAGCATTGGGGAAAAAGGGATAAAAAATGATTGCATCAATATTCAAATATACTGAAAAAGATTCTATGAAATTGCTTTATAAAAATTGCTTTTATAGAATAAAGCTATGTAAGGAGGTTACCCAAAGAATAAAGTTTTGCAAAGCTAGAAAAAATATGGTTTTAGAAACATCACCAAGGAATCATATTGGTGGGGAAATTACGCAAAACAAAAGGCAGGAATTAAACGTGACGCGTATTTTCTTCCGACATCAGTTTTGCATTCTTTCTTTGTTTCATGTCCTTAAAGACGGGAAAAAATTGACACGAATATTCATTTTCATGCAGATGAGCAAAATTTTATCTTAATATGTTATTCTATCGGGGAAGGAGAATTTCCTGATTTGATTTTGGACATTCTAATCTTAAAATTCTTCATATACAAGAGATATTTTATAAAAATACAATATAATTATATATATTCCTAATGCAGTTCACTAGTTATTTTCTATTGGATAAACCTTCCAAAGCATCTCTATCCAAATACATTTCTTGTGCATGACTTGAAATCCACTGAAATTGATATTTTCCTGCTTAGTTGGGATTAAATATATAATATAAGATATATAATATAAGATATTTAGTAAGCAACTAAATAAAGAAACGGAGGAAGAAGATACACGAGAAAAAGTAGGGATGACATGAAACATATTCACTAACTGAATTTTGAATAAATGCCAAGAAAATTGATACAAATCATGCATACAAAAATTGAGATATAAGAAGATAATTTTCATAAGAATTTAGGTCTGTTGTCTAATCCCTTTTAATATTGAAGGGTTGGTACAGATTGAATTAAATGAAACACTGAAATTACACTGTTTTTAAAAGTCTAAAATATTACACTGTTTGTAAAAGTCTAAAATATTTGCTTCATTGATTCTCGATGTGTAAATCATTATCCATATCATCTGTAGTATACGGAATCGTGTGGCACAGAGCTATAAAATATATCGCAAACAGTTGTTTGAGATGGTCCGCTCCTCAACCAGGATTAATAACTCTTAATTTGTTTTATTTAATTGAAGATAGCAAAAATCATTCTTGGAATATAGATATTTTTCGTGGGAAAAAAATTCATGCATTTTCATGTATTTTATAAATGTCTTATTCGTCATCTTAACGATTTAATTGAGCTTAATTAATAAAAACATTGCTTTTTTGTGTCTAATTTCTTTTTCTTTTTTTTTCTTATCCGAGGGTAAGTTAAAGGCTTTCCATAAAACATTTATGTGCACTCTATGCCTTCACTTCTCTCAACTACAATGCAATATGACGTGAAATCATTACAAACTTGAGCTGTAATGATGGGGAGAATGTTATCAATTTTACACCTTATTTCAAACTGGAACACTGTTTCAAAATTCACGTGTTTTAACTGTATTTTGAAAACTGATATGTCCGATTATTTTGAAATGATTCACTAAACATGCTTAATTATCCTTGATTGAATTCCATGTGTTCAAATGCTTACGAACATTATACTTTTGAAATGTCATCGTTTTATATCAGTAGATAGAGGTAGATTTTTTTTTGTGTCTATGAAAAAGTCTGGCGCAGTGATAAATGAGGAGTAATTTGAGATCTTTAGTAGAAATTCAAAAGTGGAGTCTTTTGTCGAACTGAATCTTGCTTTGGAAGAATGTGCGATTCGTTCTAATACAGATATTTATACGATTTTAAGTAAATATATCCTAAAAATGTCTGTAAGTTGATCTTCTCATATGAAATATTTTGTACCCAAATAATACTTTGACTTTCCCCAAGCACGTTTCGGTATACAAGATACGATGAGTCTACTTATATAACAGAAAATTCATAATAATTTTGTCAATCGGCTGAACCGAAGAGATTTAGATAAAAAAAAAAATTGGAAGAAGACCTTCATGTGATCAACGAAGCCATGTGATATGATAACATACCTTAATATAAAAGAACCCTCATATATATTGGTTGTACATAAGTAAATAACTTACAAATTAAAATCAAATCCGACCTCGCAATGCATTATTGTTTTCAACGCATTTTAAAGCTTCTGGAAGGATTAACATAGCTGCGTACTTCGTAATTCCCATTTTATTTCTGAATAGTTTAAACACAAATGTTCATTAACCTTTGACATACAAATGGAAAAAATAAATGAAAAGATAACTAAAGGAATATTTTTTGTTATTTACAATTCAATAATTTTATTTCAGAATTGTGGTGTGATGTTTATACAAGATTCCTTGAAAGGATGAATTTATCTAAAATGAAGTTAACATATCTTTCACAACTGATTATTATATGGATATCGATTACACGGATGTTACAAGTCTGCAAATGCCAGCAGCAAGATTCCCTTTTTACCATATTTTCTGTTCCTGTTTCTAACTATCCACTGCGAAATCTTGTATTTGATGAGGAAGATAATTCAATATTTTTCAGTGGAAAAAATGTTTTGTACAAGTTTGACTGGGCGGCTGACAATGTATCTCCACTGACTCGACGAGTTACTGGGCCTCGTGCTGATTGCTTTGGTGAAGAAGATTTAGATATCAAGTATTGTGGTGATAATGAGAATACCGTCCTGGTCGTTACTCCAAAATATTTGATAACATGTGGCACTTTGTTTGGAGGAAGGTGTATGAAAAGGGATAAAGAAACCCTGTTTGAAACTTCCCCCTCATCAGCGTTCATTCAGCTTGTTTCCGATATTGATGCTCCAGCTGTGGGAAAATTGTTGAACATTTCTGTAAATGATTCGCGTGAAAATAAGTTAATTATTTTGTTTGCTAAAATGTACACCCCGTTACCAATAGCTCCGACTAAATTAAGCAGAGCTGCAATATTTTCAGTATCGCAAGATTTGCAAGGAAGAGTTTTTCTGCATACATTGAACGAGGAATCAATATTTGATATATTCATAAAAGAGGAAACTGTTCAAGACTCAATTAAGCTTGATTATAGAGCTATCCTTGAAAGTGATAATTTTACATACATATTAGTAAATCAAAACAAAAAACCAAAGCTAGTCAAACTATGTAAACAAATTGACGGAATTAACCCCAAAAAAGTGTATGAAGATATTCCATTATCTTGCATAACGGGTACAACAGAATTTACGTACGTTGTACATGGTGCAATTGCTATGGTGTCTGATAAAACGTATCTGTTGGCACTGTTCAAAGGACCAAACGGAATATATGGTGTTTGTGTTTATCAGGAAACAGAAATATTAAAGGCCTTTCTGCTATCCAGGATAGACAGATACGCATGTCCGGAACACGATTTACAGCCAGAAGACAAGATATTTGATGAGGCTTACAATCGTAAGAAATGTATCAACATAACCAGTTTGACGGCTGACAACGAGGTAAGAAAATTGTTGGATATGAATTTTAAGCACTTCTAATGATACTTCTTATGTTGCTTTTTTATACTTTCAGCCAGTATCCGGTATATATGAAGCATTCAATGAGATTAATTTTTGCAACAAGGTTTCAAATCGAATTTCCGAATTTGGGATGGTGATAGGCCTTCTACCTTTGAAAAGTACTGCTGTCTATACAACGGATTTACCTGTATCAGTGATTGAAAGTCATGTTTTCAATGATAACATGATTGCATTTATTGGAACCGAAGATGGAAAACTTGTAAAGGTATGGGACAATTTACTGTGCACTGTACGAGAACATCATCGCTTTTAAAGAATATTTTCTTACATCTCTAAATGGAGCTAAAATTGTGATAAAACTAATAGACGATTTTTCAGATTTATTTGGACAACAACCTTTCAAGGGAACTTCTGCATATCAAAGTGGACGATTCTAAGATAATGGCGATTAAAAAGATACATGATGAAATATACGTAATGTCCAAAAATAAGGTATACATATACGAGGGTTGTCCCAGAAAAAAACGCGAACTTTTTGAATATATATATTGACTACATGTACTACTTTTTGTACCTTATATCAGTCTTTGCTCACTAGTTTTTCTATCCTACACTTTTTAATTAAACGCATCTTGATATAATTTAAACACACATATATACCATTATTTTTACGATTGTAAACACAAAAGATTGAAGGAAAGTTTGAAAAGTTAAATGAATTAATCCAATGAATGTAACATACTATTTAAAATGTGAAAAAAAATTCTTGAATTTACATTCTAATGTATTCCAAATATTTCTTGTGACAACATCGACTCAAAAAGCATTTGCTTAAAATTTACTTAAATTAGGATTTTTCTCTGGTTTCTTACTCAATGAAATATTTAAAGTATATGTTTTTTGAATATTTCATTTAGTCAAGTATATATGTTTTATGCCTATTATAATCAGATGTTGGGGATTAAAAAGATCAGGTTTTTCTTTTCTGGTCATAAATGTACACTTTAAATAGAAATTGTGAATTGAGATTGAAATCTAGTGGGAATTATATTTTTGGTGGAACAGCGGCGTATGAATAAAGATCTTTTTCTGCTTCTCAACATAACTAAAAAATAATGAATTTAGTTAAATTTGTTAAACAATCAAGGCATAAAGGAATTTTCTGAAGTCACTGATTTAAGGTTTTAAAATAATGAATTAAATGATTGTGGTTTTCCAAACAAACTACAATCTTGTGAGATTTTAAAAACTTGCAATCTAAGAAAGGATTTCAGTAAAAAATGAAAAAATGTTTTTCTCTTTTATAAGACAGTCAGAATCGTTGATTTAGATTAATTTGAATATTCATATGATTATTTTATTCTTGAAAAGAAAAAAAATATACCGGTAGGAAACATATAAAAGTTAATAATATTCCCTAAATTCGACTTAGATTATATCTATTTTAAAAAAAAAATATGTGGTATCATCTGATGCAAAAAGAAAAACAGTTAATTCTTGGAATGGAAGAAGGCTCCACATGATTTACAATAGAATTTTTTTTTATTTTAATATAAGAGAAAAGACATTTCCAATGTCCTGACCTTGCTCCTAAAATAAAACGGTCGATTTAATGTAACTGATCCCATCACTTAGACATATTGCACTCTTACACCTGTGAAAATTCATTAATTTTTAAATGCAATAAATATGAGAAGAATCCTTCCTTAAAGTCATTGAAATACACATATGGCTCATAACATCTTTGAGCTTAAATCCACATTCAAATATAAATGATTTTTCTCTATTTGAACACCTGTAGAATGTAAATGTCATTATTTATGGTGTTCTGTTGTGTAATACAGAGTATATTGTGTAGTGTCGAAAGCAGAAAGTTAATGAAGGATAAAACATAACAAATAAGTTTAAAATATTATAAAAAAAATACCATTCGGTTTGTGAGTAGATGTGATTTGGATGTTACTAGATGTGATTTGGATCCAGCTTGTGTGGTTTCTATCCCTTGCCATCCGCTCGGGGTAGATAACACATGACTCGGTTGAAAAAAATGTGTCCAATCACAGAACATATCTTTTTTTCGTAAATATATTTTTTGCTGGACGAAATGCGGACCACTGATTATTGATAGAAGACTTACGCATCATTATTCAGATTGTCAGACTGAAGAACGAGTTTAATTGTTCCACGAAGACACAAATCTGCGAAATGTGTATGGACACAAAAGATCCTCACTGTGGATGGTGTGTGGAAAGAAACAGGTGCGAATCATTTTTTGAACTATCCACTAGCTCTGTGTTTTATAAGTACATTTGCAATTCACACTGTATATATATCAGCAACTCTTAGTTTTTGAAATTTATTGTAATTGTTAGATGTACAACAAAGTCGGAGTGTTCCCTAGGATTGAATTCCTGGTTACCATCTGTAAAGAACAAATGTCTGAAATTGACTCTTGGGAAGATTAAGAATTATGCAGTGGATATTGATTCAAACTCTGTAAGTGTAGAACTTGAAATATTCTTGAATGCAAGTTTTAATCTTTTTTCTTTTATTCATATAAGTTATTTAAAGAGTTCTGCAAGAAAATGTTTTTCACAATCTGATATACAAGTAAATGGTAAATTAAGTAAACATTTTCAATATATGCAATCAATAGAACATTAAATATTTATATTGTTCCTTGATTTTTTTTTTTCAGGAAAAAAATATTTCAGTTAACCTCGTTCCTACTCTTGGGTATTTTGAGAACATAACTTGCACGCTAGATGGTACTACGTTACCCACTTACCAAATAAATGGAAGCATTCTCTGCGTGGTTAACCTGGACAACTCGACAATATCTACTTCATGGAAAACAAGTAATACATTTTGCTTACTAGATCATTTGACTTTGTTTTGCTTTTAGACTGATGTTTACCATGTTTCTTTCATGCAGTCCGTTTATTTGTTTACTTTTAAATTATTTCAAAAGCCTAAATTGTCAGAAAATTCTTCAGTTTAGGGAAATCGAGCACGCAAACCAGGGCAAGTGTTTGGAAAACTGTGAAAGATAGAAATACCAACCGTAATTTGTTTCATGTTGAAAAATCTTTCTATCAACCTAACTATTACACATTAATGTAAAATTATGCCCTGTTCACACGGATAGTTTAATTCGCAGTAAATTAATGCGAAGTAAAATGATGCGAATTAAACAGCGAATTAAATTGCGTTCACACGACAGTAAACTAATGCGAATTAAGTTTTATTTCTACTGTAAGGCTATTCAGTAAGGCTATTATGACGTCATTTGCAAATCACGTCACATTATGCAGAGCAGATATACATTTGACATAATTCCATAGTGTCTGTACAGTTTTTAGTGATTAACAAAGTTTTCCTTTGTTTTCCACTCAAAAATAGCACAAATACTTATATTTGACCACCGACATGTGGCATGTGACTTAATTCTGCCCTTACGCATGCGTCAAAATTTAATTCGAATTAGTTTATCTCCGTGTGAACAGGGCATTAATATGTTAAAGGGCGCAGTTGTAGTTATGGCAGAACATCAATTGTGACCATCCATGCTGCTGTTTGAATATTTGGTGTTGTAATATCATACTATGTAATATACATTTATTACTATAATAAAGTTATTTTTGCATTTTGTTTTTAAAGGATAAAAATCTTTTCAAAGTAAACATGGCATACACGTAAATAACTGTCCATGTTTGAATGTCGGATAACGCCCTCCACAGACTCTACAATAATCCCCAGGAGTTCATGAGATAGATGTAGACATTATATCGCTTTCCTTTGTGTACTTTTATGAAAAAAAAAATCTATTGTAGAAATACCTGGAAATTTGACGCTGCATATTGTGCTTAATAGAATATCTATTGCAAGTACTTCACTGATATTCTACAGTTGTTTTCAATTTAGAACGTAAGTATTCTTATTTTAAAATGTATCATTGAGTTAGAAATGCCATCTTCAGATTCTTTATTCTAGCTGCTAGTAAGTCGAGCACATCTACCTGTACCTTATACCCCTTCTAGTTATTACTATTATTAATCTCCAATATACTTTCTATGGATTTTATCTTTATATGATATTTTGTTATTGTGGAATATTTTTTTTCCTTGAGGTCCAATGTTTTCGATTACTTGAAATTATTATTGGTCATAAATTAATGTACCTGGGCTTTTTTTATGTAGACAACTTGCAGATCAGTATCTGTTGAGGTTAAAAATTCTTTGGAAATAGTACCCATGAAATCTACAGAAATACAACGAATTATAGTGATCGCAATGTACTACAACTGTTCACTCATTGCAAGCAGTTAAACATGTTTGAAGGGATTTCATGAAAATCCCAAACAGAATACCTTTCGGCTATCCTGGCAATACAGTAACATTCAGACGCTACCTGAATCTCCGCAGCTATGTTAAGGCTTCCCGAAGCTTTAAAATGCGTTCAAAACGTAATATTGCATTGCAATGTCGGTTTTAATTTTACTTCGTAATTTGTATACTTAAGTACAGCCAATTATAAAAAGGGTTCCCTTGGCTATATATTAACATTCCTGTCATGATATCACATGACTTTGTTGTTCACGTGACGGTCATTTATATTTTTTTTAAGTTTTTCATATAAATCGCTTCGACGCAGCAGATTAACACAGTTATTATTAACATTTTGTTATACAAATGAAAACTCGTATTGTTGTGTACCTCAAATGTGCTTGGGAAAAGTCCTTATATCACTTGGGTTCAAAATATTTTTTGAGAAGTTCAACTTACCGACAAATTGAAAGGTATTTTCCACACAATATCGTAATCTGCATTAAACCAAAGTCATCACATATTTTTTCCAGGCAAGATTCAGTTAGAGAACAACCTCTTCAGACAAATTTCCACAAAAGATTTCAGATTAATCCTCATTAATCGCCTGCGCCAGTCTCTTTTATACACACATATTAAATTTACCTCTAACCACGGGTATAAAACAAAGTGCATATTAAAGGTATATTTTTGTAAGCATTGTAAACACGCTGAATTTCAATCATAGGGGCGTACGTTTAAAATATTCGGACAAATAAGATTTAAAAACACTATTACGACACGTGAATTTGCAATAGTGCTCCAACATTTAACATGCAGCTTGAGGTTAGATGTAAAGTTCGTGACAGTCTCCCAGTAATAACAGCACAAGTTAGCAGTGACTTGACGTCATTTTTCATTATAACGTCATATTGTGGTAGTTCGCAGAAGTGAAGGCACAGAGTGCACTGCGATATTCTATGGGAAGCCTTAACATACCTGTCCAAGAAATCCAAAAAACCAATAAATCTTTGAAATTGTTTCTCTGAATCTGGAATTGCTGTGGTACTGCTTTAGGATTACATTGGGACTGCTCTTAAAATTGAACCCAACAGTACCATCAGCTTTCAGTGTCTTCTTATCGTATCATGTCAACATCTGATTGACAAGAAAGCGGCTTTGAGTAGTTTGAATACGCAAGTTCATTTCTTTTCACTTTTAGCGGAGAATTTGAAAGCTAAGGAGAAATATACTTAAAAGACTTCATACTGACGAGAAATATCTTTTGTATAAAATCAACTAATTATATAACAGACAAAATAGTCTAGATATTAAATTCAAAAGATAGTATTCTCTCTAAGATGTGGCAATTGTCTCGGCAACAAAGCCGTGTCCTGCTTTTGGCGCACAGACTTAACCTGTACACGAGTCAGTGAAGATCGTAAATATTTGGTAAGAATATAGTTTTTACTGTACTTTGGTAATTTATTTTGATTTACAGAATCTATGTATTACTAAAAAAGATATGAATTCTAAGCCTGAGAATCATTAAAAAAATCATATTACGAAATTGTTAACAAGGTAAAAAATACGTTAAATAAAAGTGTCTGTTAAGTAGAATAAAATAATGTTTATCGTAGGGATGGCACGCGATTACAGAATTGCCAAACGGTGAACCGCAAGACGTTTGAACCGATTATCCGGTCAATCGTATTATTACAATTACTCGTAATTGTTTAACCGATTACAGATTGCCATCCCTAGTTTATTGTCATAAAATGGAAAAAAAATGTTTTTACTTCTTATTAACCAATTTTAAGAAATTATTTCTTGAAAGATCATATGAAATATAACTGTAGCGATAATGTTACTTTTACAGAAAGGTTTTTCTTCTTATGTGAGTATAGTATCATATTTAAGCTATTTGAAGAACATTTATAATTAATTTTGATACGTGATAAAGTCTATCTCATATGTTCAATAGAGGAGAAATTGAATGGTTTCAAATGTGACAAAGTTCCATCAGAGTTAAGGAAATTTGGTAAAATGTTCTAATGTGTCGACCTGTTGTGACCTCCTTCTACTCTGAATAAAAAAAATCAACGCTAGTTTTGAAATAAACAACATTTAATGTTTTATTTGCAAATAATTGCAGTTTTATCTCTGTTTTGATTCTATTTATATTGTCTTTATACTTATGTTTTGTTTTTGTTTTTTGTATTTAAAAGGGGCCGAATTTGGAAGTTACCATACCTTTGTCCTTTAAATAAATATGATTAAATACAGGATTTAATTAAACTTGATCTAACTTTTAATAATTGGGCCATATTTAATAATGTGTTTAACCATTTTAGCAATATTCAGGTCTGATATATTATAAAACATATGATGTATAATTGAGTTCAATCAAGAGAAGTGATACATCATTACTTATATAAACTAATCAAATATCATCTTCCAAAATTGACCACTACTTGGGGACGGTATCAGTTTGTTGTAGTTTGTTCTAAATAAGAAAACTTTTTACAAGCACTAGTTTACGTTTCAGTGTATTTAAACTATTTCAGTACAACAAATGTCGATTTGCACCTAAGAATAATTCTTCATTAATTTAGACCAAAGTGAAATGAAATTTTCATAATCAAATTTAAACAAAATTAAACTCTTTATAACGAGCGAAATATCTTTGCCTTCCCTGAATCCCAATTTTTTCATCAACAACACTAGAAATAATTATGTGTATTAATGAATGTGCAAAATAAAATTCCTGAAATTCTGAATAACCCCTCGAAAATGCAATATCTGCACTACAAAGACATTAGATGTATTAATGAGATCAAAAACTAAATGTATATGGAGACTTTCTGATGTTACCAGATTCATGATATTTTGAGATACTGAATATTTTGTGCTGTATTTGAAGGAGGAGTGATTAAGCCCTGAACTTGAATTAAAGACACCTGCTTGAATCCGTCAAAAAAAAAAAAAAAATAAAAAATAAAATAAATTAAAAAAAAAAAAATAAAAATAAAAAAATAAAAAAAAAACTTTTGTGTCTTATTGAATTAAATTGTTTTTGTAAGTATAATACATACAAAGATATTTACAATACATAACAATATCTGAAAAGGAATATCCCAAAAAGTTGTTTTTAACTTACA